ATAGTCACCAGCGAGTTCGTCGCGGCGTCGACGTACTGGAACGCGTTGGCGGCAGCGATGTCGTAGGTGGCAGCGCCGGAGGCGGTGAAGTTGTACGCCTTGGAGACTGTCATTGCAATCAAGATTAGCCATCAACCATATGTAGGTGGAGCGGAGACGCACGGTCGTGGGTGACGTCGATGGAGGCGCCCGGGGCGAGGACAGTGAAGGAAGTGTCCTTGTTGCGGGCAAGGACGGTCGCGGGGACGTACTTGGCGAGCATGCCCTTGAACGCGGGGGAGTTGCCGGCCGGGTCGGTGATGGAGAACGAGTCCGTCTCGAAGGTGTGGAGCACCGTCCGGGGGTCGTTGAGGAGCTTCAGCTCGACGTCTCCGCTGTTCACCAGGGTCGCGGTGACGTGCAGCGCGCTGACGCTGGAGACCTCAGTGGGGCCTGTGGGGAACGGAGTTCAATGGCATAGCGGGATGAGAGAGTCAGGAGACATACCGGTGAGCGACAGGGTGAGCCCTGGGGCAGCGGAAGCTGCGGCAGCAAAGACCAAGGCAACCAGAGCAGAGCGGACTGAGGTGGAGAACATGTTGGGCAGAAAAGCTATTCGTGCTGAAGAACCTCAGGGCAACGAGCAGACCCTTTATACCAACGCGCGGACGCCTGGACTCCGAGATAAGCAGGGTTGCCACATGCGTTGTTGCGGTCGTTATGCGTCGTCCTTGAGTCAACTGACGGTGTTCGGAATAAAGAATTGGGAAGGAAGCACGGTCTGTTTGTTCAACATCAAGGGTTTCTGCCAAGACCAGCGAGATATGATAGCCGTCTGCGGGAACATGCTGGGAATTGTTGGGCAGCCGCCGGCATGGGCGCCAAGAGTTGATGTGTCTCGGGGACGGCGGAGGGCTTCCGAAGACACCATGCGCTCCCTCGAGGTTCAATCACCGAAAACGAGGATAACAAAAGGGATCCGCGTTGAAGTCAGTCCGACAGTCGGCCGAATCATAGAGAGCATAAGATTCTGCAAGATTGCTCGGAGGTTGGCGCAATCTGCATGCGCTGTGCTTTCGAAGCATCCAAAAATCGTTGTCCGAGCCGGCGGTGTCTCGGAAGGAGTTAAATCTGCCTTGGCATCGAACAAACACATGGATTGAACCGTGGGACCGCCATCATAAATCGCGCCCATGTGATCTTCGGTGCCGACGCAACACTGCAACTACAAGTTCAACGCGGGCCCGCGCCGCGCATTAGACTTTGTTGAAGGACCACAGTGAATCATAGTCTTACCGGCCAGTTGAGATTCACAGAGTGGATCATAAATCACGACATTTGGTGGCACCCCCGTTGGTCCAACGACGCGTTGATGTTCTCCGCAATCAAGTATTTGATATACTTCGTCCTCTCTCTCTCGCCAATGAGTGAGGTACGCATGGAAGCAATCCATCAGAACCAAAGCTATTCCAATGATGCTCGTACCTTGTCCTCACAAGGGGCAAGGGAAAAAAATATGCCTGGAGAACGGCAAGACTCAGCCCTGAATCGAACAGGCGTCCCACGTAGGTGCAAATGACCACAATATCTCTCGTGGACGCGGACCCCCCGCGAAATCGGTATGCGTCCGTATGAGCCCGGTGTTGAGTGGAATGGCAAAAAGAATGACCAAGAGTATGGGTCATACGTACATGAGTTAGGTTTGAATACGTCAGCCTGTATTTGGATTTCAGGATCGGAAATATGTAAAGATGATGTGCTTTACAACTCCGTGGCTTGGGTCCGAGTTAAAGGGGAGTCCAATTAGATGCGGCCCATACACAACCGAGCCAGTATATGTCGCTGCTGAGTAGAATAAACGATTGCAGCGCCATCAGAAGAAGTGAACATACCGGTGAGACTAAAACGGGAGCCGCACGTCCCGGCCAACTGAGCATCGGAGAAACGCCGCTAAAGATTGGCTCTAGAGTTGAAAAAAAAGGATCTCGGGTTCCTGCCACTTCACGACTTGGGCCCGAATCGAACAGGCTCACCCCACGGGAGGGGCAATCCGCTACCGAGTCATCATGCGCGATACCGCATACCTGGCATAAAAGGGATGAACGAGGCTATCAAAGGAACGATTGAACGTAAGGTTGAACCCAGACGTACCCCACCGGTCCGGTTATAATGACATGTTCCCGGAAAGTATTCCCCGACGCCACAAGTGGTCAGAAGAACTGTGAATACACGCAGGGTGTACGAAGAAGAAGAAAAAGGGAATGTGGACAAGTTCATGACTTGGACCTGATTCGAACAGGCGAGCTCCACGATAGTTGGCCGCAACCCCTATTTGCCGTGGATGCGGACCATCCGCCACCAAGTCAGCATATGCATATGCATCACCGCTGCTGAGTGGAATGACGGAGCTTAAGATAATTAATAATTGAGTATACGGATAAAGAAAAAAAGCCTCAGATATGAGATATCATGACTCGGGCCTGATTCGAACAGACGAGCTCCACGTGGTAACTCCGTATGACTCCCTCATCTCTTGTGGATGCGGACCACCCGCTACCGAGTCAATACTGTGTACACCGCCGCTGGTGGGATGAATGAGCTGGGTTCCACAAGGATAGTTACACGCACCGGTACACGCGAGAACATGGCTGGATTAGTACACAGCGCTAGTGAAACGAAAGAATGTGCTCAGTGCAACAAGGGTATTGAACAATTGGAGATTTGAACACGACCAACCACGCAGAACTTCATATTTCCGGAAAGGCACCGCTATACACAGGCGAAGAAAAGAGGTCACGACATCGACAGACAGTATGACTCGCGGGCCTGATTCGAACAGGCGAGTTCCACGTAACGGCTGGATGTGTATGCCACGCGTCCTGGATCCGGGCCATCCGCTACCGAGTCGATGTGAGTATGACAGGGGGGAGGGATACATCAGGACGATCGAAAATTCAGGAGATTTAAGGACGACAACCCGGGTGGCCTCCAGAACTTCATCTTTTCGGAGAGGCACTGCAATATAGGCGAACAAAAAGGCTCGTCATTTTGACCACGGGACATTCAGTAGTGCTTCTGCCACAGAGATAATTAAACATACGCGTGGATCTGAACCGTGAACGCGACAACAAGTAACCCCCGCTGCTGAGAGGAATGTGGAAGCTTGGGGTAAATGAACATACAGGAAATTTGAATGCAACAACCCGGGCTTGGCCTCCAGAACATCGCATCTGCGGAGAGACACTGCGAGAAAGCATACAAAAAAAGGGCGACTTTGTGAGCACCCACATGCATCGGGCCTGAACCATGTAAGGTTTTGCAAAACGGGAACATAATCTGCCGGAGATGTGGACCATCCACCACCGAGTCACATCACTGTGTCTGCTGGATGAATAAGTGCGGCAGCATCCGAATAATTGAGCGTACAGGAGATTTGAAGACGACGACCCGGTCTACGTCTTCAGATCCTGGAGACGCATGTTCGTAGGTGGAAAAAGACAGATTTCACCTCCATGACTCGGGTCTGAATCGAACAGACCACTTCCACGTAACGGCTCTAGAGGTTCTATACGCCGTGGATGCGGACCATACGCCACCGGGTCGACATGCGGTATATATGAGCATGGATACATGGGCGCGGCAGCGAGAGATTTTTGGACAGTCAGATGCGGTCGAGCCTCCAGCATTGATTATGAAAAAGACATGTCTTCCTCGGCCACATGAGTCGGGCCCGAGTCGAACAGGCGACCTCCACGTAACGGTTTGGAATACCTTCCTCATCTGCAGGGGATGCAGACCGTCCGTCACCGACCCAATGGGTGGATGGGTATATGTAGCGAGGTCCCGGGTACTGTACTATTTCGACCGTTTGTTCACTGCATGTCACCCGTCACCAGTAAAGTTCACTGGATAAGGTCTTCATTTCTCGGCAATCACGAAAAATTACCATAAATGGACGTCCGGCAATCGCCGGACGGAAATTTTTGACGTTTTTAGGCCGCTTTGGGCCTGAAAACCTGGCCGTCACCCGTCACCGGGTTCAAATTCATTCATTTCAAGAGCCTCTGTCACCCGTCACTGAACAAACGGTCGAAATAGTACAGTATGCATCAGCGGCGCATACGAATACAGCGCGGGGAGGAACGAGCGAGTCGCGCAGGGCTAAGGGGAGAGGAGCATTTGTAGTCGACGGCAGGCACAAATGATGGAAGAGCGAGTCGTCGATCGAGTGTCGAAATTCCCAATGCCGAAGGTGAGGTCAGATCGAGAACTCGAGGAAGATGTCCGTGCTGTCGTCGATGTTCCTGTTCCCTGTGAATGTGAATGCATAGATGGGCGTGACAGCGAGAGGATTCGAGATACAAGGCGAGTTTCGGGCATTGATTCTCCGGAAAAACGGGCGAGAAAAGAAACGTTATCTCATTCACACCATGCGTCAGGCCCGAGTCGAACAGGGTCACCGTTCATCTTCAACAGGCGAGCTCCACGCAGCAAATTCGCAAAATCCTCCTTGCACCGTGGATGCGCACCGAGCCAGTAGGTGGGTGTACGTATAAGTAGTGCCCTTCGTAATTATGACTCGGGCCGGAATCGAACAGGCTCCGCGTATGTAGGCGATGGTAGCGCCGTAATGTCCAGATAACTGAACGTAGGTGAGGTTTGAAGAACCCTTGAACAAGCATTTTCAGATGACGTTACCAACTCAGTTGGGGACGCAAGCAGTTGGCTTGAAGTTGTCCACGACGCGCGAGCGTCTCAACGGCAGACCGCGTGGATGGTGAAGGTCGAGCCCCGCGACCCAGTCAACATGCAAGTTGATAAACGAGTGAATTCACCACAGACGAGACAATTTTCCTGCGGCAGACCCACATCAGGTATGTGCGCCGCACTGCAGATGCCCGAGGCGTCGCGGAGTCCCATTGATACATGGTTGCTCAGCACAGTAGATGTCTGTGGAGGATTTCGAGTCCGAGGAGATGGGCTCGGGGAGCGAAAGAAAAAGAGCTGAATCCTGTCCTCTATGACTCGAGCCTGAATCGAACAGGCGACCACCACATGAAGCGTCAAATAAGTCATCCACCCATGCGCGCTGCGGTGCGGACCTTCCGCTACCGAGTCACCGATGTCGCATCCTCCGCGGTTGATGGGATGAATGCAACATGGGCAGGGGGACGAGCGCAAGAAACGAAAAACGCATAACTATCCCCCCAATGACCCGCGCCCGAATCGAACAGGCTCGCTCCACCAACACCGTGGATAGCGTCCGCTACCGACCTTATTGAAATCATATGATGAAGGGACGAACTAGCCTGCTACTCTCAACATGAATTGGACGTACATGAGGCACTCGAACACGGTGTGAGCCCATGACCTTACCGACCGGAACTGGCCTAGAGATGTTCGGGAGACGAGCGACACAAAAAAATGGCTCAGTTCGTGTGACACTGACTCGGCCTGGTTTGAACAGGCGACATCCACACATGCTGTCTGACTGGTGAGACCCTATGCATTTGGCGTGGATGGAGGCGGACCCTCCGCCACCGAGTCGACATGTATGAACATCCCATAGCTGGTGAAGCGGGTCAGTGCAGCACCAAAAAAAGAAAGACTTGTCCTTTTTGGATGCCCGAGGCGTCACCGAGTTGAACGAAATGTTACAAGACCGTTCAGCACAGTAGATATTAGATCTCTGTGGAGGATTTTCAAGTCCCAGGACCTATACGAAGTATAGGAGTGGCTTCAGAGGGCATTTTGGTTCAGAGCTGACCCGAAGATGAATCGAAACTCGCCAGACGAGCAGACTAAGCTACGGTCGGATGAAGGTTGGATAAGAAATTGCGTATTTCCTTGGCACAGAAGTGCCGCAAAGCTCGCGCCTGAGTCGACCACGCTCCGTTCAAGGGAACATGACTCCGAGCCTTAACTGTTACGTGACTGCCTCAGGGTGTAGATCCGACGGGCAAGGCAGAGGCGAGGATAAGTGGAGAGTTGCGAGAAGCGAGAAGCACAGAAGCACAGAAGCACAGAAGGGCCGCAAACTGACCAGGGCACCGGAAGTGGCACAGTCGCACTGCGACTGTGCCATCGTGGAACAGAACCTTGAGCAACAGAGCAAGATCGATGATAACGCCGAAGAGAGACTGCCAGAGAGGCCAGAGGAGTCGAGCCATCGATTCTGAATGCATTCCGCACCCCAGGAGATTTTGAAGCGATGCAGGACAGGGTAAGGACAGCAGGGGCCGAAAAGGGGCGTGAGCGTCGTGGGCAAGCGCGCGTCGGGTGATAACAGCATCACTGATGGCATCTGATCCGGCTCTCTCCGTTCGCAAAGTTGCTCTCAGTGGCACTCACCCTCAACCTCCTCGGAGCTTGCGCCCTGCAGGCACCCATAACCTCGCTTCTCAACGACTGCATCGACATACGTTCTCTCACGGTATATGCAGCTCGCACCGCTGGGCATTCGCAGCCCGCCACGACTTGGCTAGACTCGTAACCAGCCTGCCTACGCCATTCTAACAAGGCGAGCTTGTTGGCGTCGACATACGTTCTCTCACGGTATATGCAGCTCGCACCGCTGGGCATTCGCAGCCCGCCACGACTTGGCTAGACTCGTAACCAGCCTGCCTACGCCATTCTAACAAGGCGAGCTTGTTGGGCCTACGCCAACAAGCTCGCCTTGTTAGAATGGCGTAGGCAGGCTGGTTACGAGTCTACGACTTGGTGACGACGCGTCGGCGTACTTGGTGCCGCCCCACAACCTCGACTCCGACAACTAATGCTCACCTTTGAATGTGGGCAAAAGGACAAGAGAACGGTAACATTGAAGAGCTGAGCCAGGTGCGTGGTTCCTCGCTCTCCCATATCGCTCTGCTTATCAATCCATTAGTCTGTCCTGTCCACTCCACGGCGTCGTATTAACCCCCTTAAACCTGCACCGGGACATTTCGGTACATACCATCCAAATCTATCCAGCCTCTCGCCTTGCCTTTATCGGATCTGCTCGTCCCCCACGCTGTATAGGGCAGTGTATTCGTCTGCGCTACCCATGCGTACTTGCGTGCCTCCACTCGACTGGCCTGCGTACCCCGCATACTGGCTCGGTGACGGATGGTCCGCATCCACGGCGTATGGAAAGAGATTCCACAGATCGACGTGGAGCTCGCCCGTTCAATTTAGGCCCGAGTCATGCGGTTGTCGAAGTCACGACCTTTTTTTTGTTTGTATAGCAGTGCATCTTCGAAGATATGAAGTTCTGGAGGGCCAGACCACGCTGTCGCGCTCAGATGTCCTGCATGTTCATTCATCCTCCCAGCACTAAGTTTACTTGTTCCCCTCAGAAGCGGCCGTGTACTTGTTGCTCCAAAATCCAACCGTGTGTTCAACTACCCTGCCGGTGGCGCGCTGATTCATCCAACTCAGCAGCGGCGGTGCGTATATGATCCGGTGCGTATATGATCCCGTCTACTGGGATGATCCCGTCTACTAGGTGGCGAAGGGTCCGCATACACAGTGCATGATACGTTGGAGCCCTTACCCGGACTCGCCCGTTAGGCTTAGGCCCAAGTCATCGCAGATCGCTCCCTTTTTCGTCCATTCGACGTTGCCCAGCGAAAGATACTAATACGGAGACCAGATTGTCCAGTTCGAATCTCAACCATGTGTTATCTCACCTGCTACAGATCTAGACAGCGGATTCATTCGAGTTTATTTACACCTCGACTCGACGGCAGATGGTTCGCATCCACCACAGCATATATGGCGCATCCGACCCTCGCACGTGGAGCTTGCCTGATCGATTCAGGCCCGAGTCATAGCGTCAAAGTCACGACCTTTTTTTCCGTCTATATGGTGCTCAGTCCTGGAGGTCTGTAATAGAAGAAGGTGATTTACTAGCTGTAAATACCCGGAAGGAGGCACTTCTAGTATTTGAACCTTGTATGTGCCTCCTTCTGGGTATTTACAGCTAGTGAATCACCTGTTTCTATTGCAATGTCAAGACCTAGTTGTCGCGCCCAAAATCCAAAAGCCCACCTCAGTGGTCACTGATTCTGATGGTCCTGCCTTCATTCTTGCTCATTTTACTCTGGGCGGCGGGTGCACCATGCATGCATTGACTCGGTGGCGAACGGTCCGTTATCCACGAAAATAAACGACGAGATAAAATGATTCCGCGGCTCGACTGTTGGAATGATGACCAGGCTCGGGTCAGAAGGTTTCGCCGTTTCTGTTCTTTCTCCCTACGTTCTGGGTATATTCGGTGTCCTTTCAACAACTTCTGAACGCCGGGTGATACTTCACCGTGTCCCACTCGCGCTCGGAAACCGCGTGCAGGGGCCGTCGCTCTGTATGTGCGCCATTATCACCACGCCCTCTTCCCTCGCCTTTCTTTCCCCACCAGTCCTTTCCGCCGCTTCTGACTGTGCGTCCGCACACTGCCGTGCTTGCGCGTACGGTCGCTCGGGGTGCAGTGTATTACTAAGGCTGGATACACACATATCGACCCGGTAGCGGGTGGTCCGCACCCACGCTGTATTCGAAGTTCTGGAATACTTACGTGGACGTTGTCTGTTCGAATCAGGCTCGAGTCATGGAGTGGTTTTCAAGTTGCCGGGTTTTTTCTTTCTCTCTTTCCTCCATATTCCTATTTCTTTCCGATTTTTTGGACGGGTGATCTCGCATCCTCTCGATGTACGTGTCGAGACCGGGTATGCTCATTCATGCATTTCACAGGCGACGGTATATGCAGACACATAGACTCGGTGGCGGAGGGTCCCCAGCCACGGGAAATCAGGTAGTGTTTTTCAACCGTTACGTGGAGTTCGCCTGTTCACTAGTCTTCCACAAACAAGGCGCCCGTCTTTTTGAACCAAGTAGTGGGCAACGCGTCCCAAAATCTGAACGCAGAGACCGAGCTGTCGCGTCAATCTCCCGTGTAGGTATGCTCAAGTAGCAGGGGTCGTTCGGCCCTTCGTTCATCACACCGGCGATGCATACATTGGCTCGGTAGCGGGGGGTCCGCAATGCGCATCCACAGAAGATTCTGATTGTTTCGACTCACTGCCCGCCTGTTCAAATCAGGCTCGAGTCATACCTTGAAGAGCGGCCACTTTTTTTTGCCTATCGAGCAGTGCCTGGGAGCGAGTTGTTGCGTTTACATCTCCTGTCTGGTGAGTAGTGGTTACCCTCGTAGCATTCAAATTATTTCGTTCATTTCATTAGGTCGCAAATTAAAAGTTCACCTATGTTCAATAATCCCGATGTTACCGCACTCATGCATTCGAATTCGTCGAGTATATCGTGACGTCGACTCAGTCCTATTCACAGCGGGTGGGTAACACTTGCGCACGCTTACATGGACCTCACATGTGCGACTCAGGGCGAGTCTTGTTGGGAAACAGGTGATGGTTTTCTCCGCCCACATGTACAGCAGCCCTATCTGACTGGAAACAGATCAGTCCCGGTGCGTTCCATTTTCACTCGTTGCTTCTCAGCATGCTCAACTATCCCGATGATACTACGCTGATTCCACCCATCAGCACACTCACATTGACTTGGTAGCGGATGCCCGCCGTGGAGCATTCGACCATCTTACGTAGAACTCACCTGTTCGAATCAAGACCGATGTTGAAAAATGCGTCGGTTTTTTTTCCTTGAACAAGATCCCCGAGGTCTCGATTCCCACCGCTAAAGCCAAGCGGCGAGGTTCAAATGTCCTTCTGGTGCTACGCTCATTCATTCGGCATCTAACAAGCGAGGTACGAGCTTCCCATGTTAGAGCGTCTGGCTGCGAGAGACTAATTCGGCACCGCAGCTGGGCGTCCTGATTCGATTTGGCTTTAGTCATCTCCTTCGCATCGAGGCAGGCCCGAGCCATTATGGGGTACATCAGCCATCCTCTTCTTGGCTCTTCCATGCTCTCGGCGCCAATAGTCTCAAACAGGTCCGCATCCACCGCAGAATTCAGATACGGCATTTCATGTTGCGGCATTGCAGCTCCAAGATCTGGAGGCCAGACTCAAGCCCCCACGTTCAAATGCATGTCGACTCGGTCGCGGAGGGCCTATCCACGGCAGATAAGAGGATGTGTGCAAAGTTACGTGGAGCTCGCCTGTTCGAAT